TGGAACTTCACTCAATAAAGGAGGATGACTTGGAGTGGGTGGAGAAGCTTGAATTGGTGGTTGGGCAGGAACAGGAGGCTGGTTCATATTGCGCTCTTGGGTCTTGTTCACAAATGCTTGCATACTGGACTCCACCGTGTTCTTCATCTGTTGCATCATCTCTTCGGCATTGAAGGAAGCACTGGATGCCGGTGGTGTGGATTGAGGTGCCACCGGTGTTGGTGGATCAGGCACTGGAGCAATGGGCTGAGAAGGATGTGGATGGAACGTGGATTGATGGAATGGAAGAAGCTGTTGAAGGTGCTGGATATGTGTCTGAGCTTGTACTCCCAATTGTTGATTAAAAATTTTGTTTTGCTCTCTAAGAGCCGCCAGCTGTGCCTGAGTCTGAGCTTGGAGCTGAGCCTGTGACTGTTGGTTCATAAGATCACCGCCACAAAATTGGCCTTGAAGTCCCATCGCTTGTGGGTTCCAGAAGGTCCACATGTTTTCGGGGGCGGTAGGAAACCGGCCAGGAAACATGGCAGCACTGTCAGACGATTTAACAAATTAGTTCAAATAAGATGCATCCACATTAGCATGCAAAAGTCCCCTCATTAGGCTCAACGGCCTGAGTTCACGTCAACCCTACCGACGGCTATCAGTGTTCAGATGAATTACATGCACAATTGAACCTCACCAACGACCATCAAAAGAAAGGAGAACCATACCTGCAAGAATGTCCTGTTGCCTGTGAAGTCATGGAAAATGGCTGCGGGCAGTCCCTTGAGTTCCAGTAAAAAGGCCGATTGTTGTCGTGGCTTCCAACTATGCAAATCTGCGAAAAAGAAAAGAGGCCCAGTGCAGCGGCCAGTTGTTCAACACTCACTCGACCGACGTGTGAAACAATGAAAAAAGGCCAGCAGTTCACTCTACTTAGACGAATTACTAATTCAAAATTGTAAATTCAGACATCGTGTTACCGTCAATTGTTAGCCTAGAAAGGCTTTCCCCGAAGGGCTCATACCACCTTGTCGGACAACGGTATGAGTGACACACTTGCTCAGAAATATCTTATCGACTTACTGATGTGGAATGCATCGAACGTGCACAAACAAACCAGTAAAGTCTGACAGGAGAAATTGGTTGATCCACCGTGAGGTTCAGTTCGAGGTATGCTTTCTACGTCCTTGCTCTGAAGAAGGTTCTGATGCAACTGACCAGTTGTAGATACCCAAATAAAACCAGATTGCGACAACAGTGCAGCAAATTGAACATTTCAATGAAACGGCATGGTGGTTCTTGGGTTTTCCACGTCCCATCGCAAAATTGACATGAAAGTGAAGCAGGTACGTCGATGAGCGTCCTCATCGATATCACAGGCAACTGATGAGTGTCTTTGTTAGTGCCGGTCTCATCAGTGCCCCCGGCACCCCCTGCAAATAGGATATGAAAATCATGTTGGAACCACAACAAACGCACAAAACAAACCTAAGGAAGTTTTACATCTGTGCAGATGGTCCACACACACACACACACTTTTGCTCAGAACTGTCGTTGCGAATTCGGTTGTGGAGTGCATCTTACGTGCAAAAACACAAATAATCAAATGACAAGATGAATATACATACATATATGAATATTTAGACGTATAATCACAGTAGACGTTGACCAAGTAAAACAACAGCGATAAAACATATACCCCCCCAGCTGCGGCTTATATGCGCCCAGGGGCGGGACTATATTATACTATATTTGCAGGTACAGGAATGTGCGTCCACATTCCCTTCCGCCTAAATCCCACAGCTTCATTGGCATGGCTAGGGAAACAGCTGCCATGCCCCCTGCAATATAACGAAGTTTTACATCTTTACACATGGTACACGCACAGACACACGCCCCGCAGCAGCGGGGCAGATGAAAGGGAAATGAAACTGAGATGACAACTACTTAACCGGGACACGAGACGGGGAACACAAAAGAAGAAAGGAAAAAGGAGAGAACACCAACACCAACACACCTAGCCCAGAGCGGGCAAACCCTGACAGGGTAAGGGAAAAGAAAAAGCGGACGGACGACGGACCAAACACCGACCAGAGGAGGGGCGGCGGACGGAAGCGCCTGACACAACCTACAAGGCGAGAGCCAAACCTACCTCGGCACGCGAAGGACCAAACCTGACCTAACACGGGAGCACACATGAGATAGGGGGAACAATAGGGACCTAGTTAAAAACAAGCGATGCATCCACAATACAATGCAAATGATCGTGGTAAGGCTCGAGGCCCTCGGAAGTCAAATCAACCCTATATGCGGCTGTCAGCATTCCCCAGCTAAATTACGTGCACAGTTGAACCTCACCAGAAAACCAAAAAGAAAGTGACCACACCTAGAAAGCATGTCCTGTGCCTTTCATCACATGAGCCATGACTGAAATGACATCGTTCTGTCTCTCGAGCATCACTGAAAAAAGGAGGTTATCGCAGCTGACGTCTACCAACCCTTGCAGTTCAGGTGAAATGGTGATTCCCCGGAACAGCGGGCAGCAGCTCAACACTCACTCGACCGATAAGTGAAAAGCTGAAAAAAGGCTCACTGCTTGACGAATCCAGCATGAGTCACACACTTGCTCAGAACGGTCGTTGCGAATTCGGTTGTGGAGTGCATCTTACGTGCAACAACATCAACAATTAAATGACAAGATTTATATACATATGTTTGTATATATACATAGAAATAAAGACGTATAATCACAGTAGACGTTGACCATATCAAACAACAGCGACAAAAGATATGCCCCCCCAGCTGCGGCTTATATGCGCCCAGGGGCGGGACTATATTATATTATATTTGCAGGTACAGGAATGTGCGTCCACATTCCCTTCCGGCTGAATCCCATAGCTTCGTTGGCATGGCTAGGGAAACAGCTGCCATGCCCATGCCCCCTGCAACATAACGAAGTTTTACACCTTTACGGATGGTACGCGCACACACACACACATGCTCAGACCTGTCATTGCGAATTCTGTTGTGGAATGCATCTTACGTGCAAAAACACTTCCATTAAACCTGACAGGAACGGGTCAGTGAAGGGACCCGAAAGGTATCAAGGAGCTGCCAGCGCCATAGCCAGTGTTGGTGCCAAATTGAAACTGTTGGAAAAGAAATTCAAATGATCGTCATGCCGGTTCTTGGCTTCGCCGGTCGCCACTAACAAAACACTAATTTGGCAGAAATGCAGGTATGTCTGGATGGCCAATCCAGACACCCCACTCTGTGACCTAGCTTCGTTGAACTGGGTCAGTCCCAGAGTGCCCAGTTCCCCTGCAAATTGGAATGAAACTGACAAAAACTGAGATGTAGAAGCCAAGGGTATCCCCTGCAAATTGAAATGAAATTGACAAAAACAGAGACCTAGAAGCCAAGGTATCAAAGGTTAGAAGTTTTACATCTATTCAGATGGTTCACACACACGCCCCGCTGCCGTGGGGCTTTTTACGGCTCCGACAAATGAGATGAAGGTGAAGATGAAAGGGAAATGGAATTGAGGTGACGGTGAGAATGAGATGACAGTTACTTAACCAGGACACGAGGAGGGGAACGCAAAAGAGGAGGGAAAGAGAAAACACCAACACAAACACACTTGGCCCAGAGCGGGCAAACCCTGAAAGGGCAAGAAAAGAAAAAACGGAGGCCGACGGAAACGGAACAAGACCAGCGGAGGTGGGGGAAGACGGAAGCGCCTAAACCAACTTACCACATCGAAACCTAAGCTTTCCTAAGCACGCACAGGACCCAACCTACCTATAGAGAGGAACACGCATGAGGTAGGGGACCAATGGGGGCTAATTAGTTGGTGAAAAGATGCATCCATCAACCAGTGCAGAAATTCTTGTTCAAGCTCAAAGGCCCTCCAATTTCAAGTAACAACCCTTTGGACGGCTTAAGCGTTCAACCCTCGAACTGGTGCACAGATGAACCTCACCAACGACCAAAAAAGAAGAATCACCATACCTGCAAGCATGGCCTACGCATTCATTTCACATGACATGTAGAAAATTGTGATGTCAGTCAGTCTCTTGAGCAGCGTTGAAAAAGGAAGGTTTCACGTCAGACAGTGCAGCATGGACTGAAATGAAACAGTGAGGCCAGTCACAGCGGCAAGCAGTTTAACCAAAACGACCGATTGTGTGAAACCCGAGAAAAGGCCATCTGTTCCACTTTACTTAGACGAAGTATACTAGGTTAAAACTGTAAATTCAGAGATCAAGTCGAAGGATCCAACATCCTACCTAGAAAGGTGTGCCCCGAGGGGCTCACGGCATCTTGTCGAACCGACGTGAGTAACACACTTGCTCAGAACTGCCATTGCGAATTCTGTTGTGGAATGCATCGTACGTGCAAAAACACTTCCATTAAACCTGACAGGAACGGGTCAGTGAAGGGACCCGAAAGGTATCAAGCAGTTGCCATCGCCATAGCCAGTGTTGGTGCCAAATTGAAACTGTTGGAAAAAGAAATTCAAATGATCGTCATGCCGGTTCTTGGCTTCGCCGGTCGCCACTAACAAAAAACTAATTTGGCAGAAATGCAGGTATGTCTGGATGGCCAATCCAGACACCCCACTCTGTGACCTAGCTTCGTTGAACTGGGTCAGTCCCAGAGTGCCCAGTTCCCCTGCAAATTGGAATGAAACTGACAAAAACTGAGACCTAGAAGCCAAGGGTATCCCCTGCAAATTGAAATGAAACTGACAAAAACGGAGACCTAGAAGCCAAGTTATCAAAGGTTAGAGGTTTTACATCTATTCAGATGGCTCACACACACAATATTCTCTCTCCAGGCTTCCCATTACCCTAGTTGGTTCGCTTTGTTGCTCTGACTTTGTGTGTTCCAACTTTGGGGGTAACTTCGATATTAGCAGCAAAAGTGCTGATGTTGTTAAATACCCTTTAGACAGTTTGTGCAAGATTTTGTTTCAGCAACTGGCGCTTTGCGCTCTACAGCAAGATCTGGCACAGGTGTCCTCCCTGGCTATGCTTTGCATGGATCCGCACTACCGGACCCAGGTGTGAAAAGAGCGAAAGTTGAACTGCTTCAATAATCAACACTTTACAGAAGATGTTTGCAGAGTTTGTGCAGAAATGTGCAGATACAGTGCATAGGGAGGGTTTTCCTTTGAAAAACCATTATTTGCAAGTTGCTGCTTATTTTTGATGTATTGATATGATTACATGCATGTATGCATGCAGACACATGGACAGACGGACGGACGGACGGACTGACAGACCGACGGACAGACAGACAGACAAACATACACACATACACACATATACATACACACATATACACATACACGCATACACACATCCACACATCCACACATGCACACATATACACATGCATGCACACACACATACACAGATACATGCACACATACACAGATACATACACGCATGCAGGCATGCATGACATACGCACGCGCGCAGATACACACATCCACATATTATGTATATATCCTCCCTGTTTGCACAGTTTGATATGTTTCTTTTTGGTTCTCCCATTTGTGGATGCCAAATCACAATTTCATAGGAAAGAACCCAGGCATTGGAAGGAATTATATGCAAAACATTATGTGCTCAGCAGTGCTGCGCCTGGTCGTCGGATACCGTGGCACAGGTTGGATTTCTCAAGCTCATCCAGAAAGAATGGTGCTCTTTTGGACACCGTTTCCGAACGCGCTTGGCGCAAAACTGCCATGCTTTTCGGGCCTAGGGCTGGCGGCTTGTAGCAGTTCGTAGCGGCTAGTAGCAACTATATGCAACTATAGTATCCTGAGACAGCGGATGGGACATCATGGGAATGGTGTGCTTTTGGGCCGGAAACGAGAGGGAAAGGCAGGGGTACTTTGAAATGACAAGTGCCAGGATCGGCGATGCGCCGACCAGTGAATACAGTCCTGTGATCATCCAATGGTTGGAATGCGCCCAGAGCTTGGGTTCACGTCGAATGTTGCGTCTCATGTCCTTGCAGTTGTTTGCATTCCGGGCCATTTCGGTGAATCTATGGATTTGACGCAAACATGTGAATGTGATTTCACATGAATTGATATGGCCATTACTTGCAGTCAATTTTGTTGATCAGCCATGGCTGGCCATGACCGGCCATCGTGCTACGCTCCTCCTCAAGATGTTTGAACCCATCTGAGGTCTTTCAGCTGTTGCAGCAATTTCCGGACGCTTTTGAGTTCTCGACAAGTATCCTTGTGCGTTTGGCTGAGGAGGCTCCAAATGTTCCAACCTGTTCCAGCCTGTTCCGAAATTTTGAGACAGCTTTGCGTCAAGTTCTTCCGAGTAGATCTGAATAATTGAAAGATATTACAAGAACACGTGCATTGTTTATACCTTCTTTTTGAGATCATGACAAACACTTGCTTTGACAGGTTTTCACAAATCGCTATGGAACCTTCTTTTTTGACAATGAGCTACATGGCAAGAGTAAGCGTGCTTTGCAGCTGCTTCCATTTCAGTTGCATGTTTTCCAACGTACTTTGAAGCAACGTGAGGAAGCAACATTCAACTCATGCCTGATGATTCTGCTACTGTGTCAACACATTCATATCCATGAGCAGGGGGAACCTGCGCGAATCTCCTGGACTCACAGTTATGTTTTGTGCAAACTTCATCTCACTCCAATCTCGCGAGTGACGAAACCTGGAAATCAAGTGCAAGACATGAAGTTGTTTAAGCATGTTGAAGCCGTTTGAAAAATTTGAGGGGTTTAGAACGGTTTTAGAATGTGAGGACCTGCCACAATTGAGGCGAGAGCGGCGATCTGTGGAAGCGCATACAGTGTCCTTGTGGTCTGTTCTATTGCAACCAGAGGCAGTTTTGCAGAGTCCAGCTGCTATAGCTTGTGGAAAAGCATCATTGCACTTGAAATTCTGTTGTTTACGCTTGTGCTGTCTGGTATCACAAAGACGTTGGCAAACTTGCGAGCTTGCACCTTCAGGAATTTGACCACTGGCGCAATCCAGGCTACAAGGCTGGGTGAAAGCGCAAAAGGTAATCACCAGATATCACCAGTGTTTTCAGGAACTGAGCAGATCTTGGTCAACTGAGGCAGTTTTTGGGTCAGTTAGCCTCTCAGCATCTCTCAGCGACATGCCGCCGTTTGTTGTCGTCTGGCCAGGCCCAGAGGGTACATCTGTACCCAAGCATATGTCAAGCGAACTACGTGGTCTGGGAGGCAAGGCAGGCAATTGAACACTATTGCAACAGGTTTGGGATGGTTTTGAAAATATTGCTCACATTAGTTCCGCAATGGTAATTGAACATGTTTTGAATGTGTTCCCAAACATGTTCGAAGTTTTTTTTTCACTCTTATAGCTCCTTGCGGCCTACAGCTCATAATGCACTCAACCAGCTTCTTGAGTTTGTTCATTGAGTGTACTATGTTTGCTGTTGGTGTCTGACGATGCAAGGCCTATTGGTTTCGATACCATGTCCGTGGGGAAAGCTTGCCAGCAGAAAGTTCTTCGTGGCCAAGTTCCGAAAGCCCCAAGTCTCAAGCGATGACTGACGTTCCAGAGGAGCGCTGAGTGGACAGACCCGTATTTGGCTGTGGCGGACCATATCGGATCCTAGCGGATAGCGGGGCAGAGTGCAGCGCCAAAAGTCCCAAGTGTTGCTGTCATAGCGTCACTCGCCAAGTGTCACGGTGTGTCACGGTGTGTCACGATGTGTCACGGGTCGCGTGGCATTCCCTTCGAATCCGTTCGAATCCGTTCGACGCTGACGCGAGGCTCCAGCGCAAACCCCAACTGCTCCTCCTGAGCCATCGCAAGTGTCACCAGAATCCGAGGAGTTAGAGCGCCAGAAGCTCAGCACAGCGCCAAAGAAATAGAAGAAAAATGAAGAAATAGATAATCATCAGATAATCATCAGATAATCATCAGATAATCATCAGATATATCAGATATCATCAAAATTCATCAAATAATCTACGTAGATGCATATGACATCGAATACGATTTTTTCAACTCAGATGCGTGAGATGCAGTTGAGACGCATTGTCTAAATAGAGCACGCATGTTTTATGCATCGGGTGTCCCAAAACATTTCACCAGTGAAGTCAAGGGCCAGAACTTTACACGCACCAGCCGGTTTGTTCACTGCCTGTTTTGAGCGGTATTGCATGAAGCTAGTCTGATAGCATGGACCTGTTTTGAACTTGATTTGCTGAAACATCTTGAAACATCTTGAAACATGCAGTTGAAACATGTTGAAACCTATTCAGCTCAAGTTCAGACATGTTGAAATATGTTAAGCTCAGTCTGTCCCAAAGCGGTTCCAACATGTTCCAACGCTTTCAAATGGCCAAAGGCGAGCCGGGTGAGCCAATGAGTCTCTTCAGCCCGGCTGAACTCACAGCACCAAAGCCAGAACCCACACAGCTCTTCGCTGACGACGACGAGGAGAGTAGCCACAGCATGTCCTGTTGTTTGAACCGAGATGAACCGAGGCTTTGGCCAGATTGGTTCAGAGATGTTCAGAGTGTCAAGTTGTTTGATGTTTTTTGTTCCTGGTCAGACCATGCGCCGGGCACGGGTACTGGCACGGGAATATTGCCCTCATATCGGGCGTTGTCCTAGATCAAGATTGTTGCCGTACTGTAATGATGTTTCATGATGTTTCATGATGTTTCAAGACGTTTGAATACATACCCATATAATACATATATGTAAATTGTATTAAATTGTGCAGTTGTGTGATGCTATGCGTTTTTGGCCGTGCCATGTCTTCAGGACATCTTTGCAAAGCCCAACAAGACAGGACTCTCCTGGTGCCTTTCAACACCGTTGGACAATCTTGTATATGACATGTATCATTCAGGTTCTGAACAACACAAACTTGCCGATTCCGATTTTCAGATCATTCCAGACGTGTTCAGCAAAGTTCACCCACCTTCAAGGTTGAACGTCTCAGATTGCCATCCCGCAGAATTGAATTCTTCGGCTTTCCGGCTTTCTGTGAAACATAAATCCCGTTAACATCTTTGAACTTCGCTGTTGTTCACATGTTTTCTGTCAATGCTGAGATCATAGATACTTTTGTATACGCGTGTGCTTGCATGCATAGCAGACAAGGACTGCTGAAATTGCTAGGTTTGTTGGGTACATTTTCGGGAGTTGTGCAAACTCCTTGGCATATTGGTACTGCTACCTAGTTACATCCTTCCGCAACTATCTGCAACTAGTTTTGATGTGGTCTTCCAACGTTCTTCGAGCAAGAAGTCTAACAAAAAATCACATTCAGTCTCGCATTGATGCAATCAGGAGGAAGCTGAAGATGAGACCATGGATTTGCAGTGTTGAGGAAAACCCACGTATAACATCGTATAACTACGTACAAAATTAACAAGGATGGCAGACTTCGTGCATCTTGGTACAAGTGATATGTGACGGTTTTGGAGGCTGGAATTTGAACCATTTCTCAGGCATGATAACATGTGAAAATGATTGGAAATGAATAATTAATGATGAATACTGTGGGTGCCAGTGGGTTTGAACATGTTTCTTTGATTTTGTATTCTGCGTCAGACCAGATGTTTTGAGATTCTTGGAACGGGTGAAAACTCGGGCGATTTCCGAGCGCTGATAATGACACGTCGGGTCCTGAAATGGGATTCTGCCATTGATTGACGAAGCTGGCAAAAACAGTGGTGCCAATGCAGTTTGGGGTTGCAGCCGTTGGAGCCCTCGTTTCGCACCTTGCCCGCTTTTGAATAGTTTGGCTGCGCTTGCTTTCAATTTGTTATCTTGCCTAACTTGATGTCAGGACAAATCATGCAATTAAAACGGGTGCATGAGGGCGTGACTTCAGGAACAAAACATAACAAAACGGTGCTGAATAGTTGCATCATTCAAATACATGGTACATAGGTAGGTAGGTAGGTAAGCGGGTGGACTGGCAGGTAGATTGATAGAAGGTTAGATAGCTATCAAGCATCTTCACAGCAAGCTTTGTATGTGCGGCCATGTAATACCACAAGGCCACTTGTTGGCTGCGCAAAGCAGAATGACATGCCTATTGCCAGCTGCTTACAGCGAGCACCTACTGTACAGTAGCTATGGGCATTTGACGTTGGTTCACATTGAACAGGTTGAGAATCGAATGGTATTGGGTTGCGGTACGCCGCAAGACAAGCAAGCTGAGTAGACAAAACGGAATTCAGACAAAAACATCGTTCAATAGGACAAAATGAATACACATGAACACGGTTGAACACATGAACATTGCTGATTTGTGAATCATGAGGGAGGCAGGAGAAAATGAACCGTATGCTGCAAAGTTGGCAAACACTAGCATGCCGGGAGCATGGGGATTTGATGCTTTGGGCATCGGCGATGTTGAAACACGCAACCAGCCCCATAGCCATGTTCCAGCGCAGATATTCTACGAGGCCTTTGCGACAGGTGTGGAGTCGCAAGCTGTGAGGTCTCGGTATGTCTCGGGTTCTTTGCTGTCCAAAGGGCTTCAGTCAGCGTCTCATTTATCGCTGGCCGGGGCCAAGTTCGAACTTTGCGGGTCCTTCCCGGGCGTCCTTCCAACCTTTGCCGTTTTCCTAGTTGAACTTCATGGGTTGCCAACATTTGCCAACTATTTAGGCATATTTAAGTTGTCATTATCCTTTCTCCTTGTCATCCTCATATTCACTTGTAAAACACGCCTACAAAGGTTTCACCATGTCGATGTGAACCCGAGACATGGCTTTGCTAAGGGTGGACCTATCAGTACACGTGCCCATCCATGCTGCCGTGACTTTTTCACAATCAGTGTCATCCTCATTGTTATTAGCATCCTCATCCTCCTTGCCATCCCTGTCATTGCTCACGTCCTTGCCATCCTACTCTTTATCCGTCTTTTCAGCATGTTTCGTCATCCTCATCTTGAACCAGCGATATCCTCGTTTGCGTGCCCTCATGCTCCGCGATTTTCCTAACGTATCCCCTGGCGATCTTGTATGTTCCCTCTTCCTGCTGGTCTACCTTGCGTTTGCCCGTCTCAAGTGTAGGCCGCGCAGTGAGAGCATTTCTAACTAGCATTGGGGAGAATGCGAAAGAGATTGCGAGCTCAGAACGTTCAGAAACGGCCCTCACAGCAGCGAGATTTGCTGTGATTTTAATGTCAGATTCACAGGATTGCCATGGATTGCCTGCAAATTAGAGAAGTTCATACGGCATACTGGATCATTTGATAGGAAGAAATGGCGCTTGGAGTTTGCCACAAACAGTTGCTGAAGCCAATTCCGAACTTTCAATTCTTCCAGGGGCGCTCGGAATTTGTCAGCCCCTACAGCAACTCTTTGAGAATACTTTTCTGTTGGGCAACCTATTCAAACTCACAAAGCACCCGTTCTCAATCTTCACGAACATCGTAGCCGCAAAATTCTTGACTCTGCATGTTGACCCTGGCCAAGCTGTGGCTTAATTCCTTTGAAGGTGCAACGCGCCCTGGATGAACAGATCATTGGCCATGCGGCCGGCAAGGCGCAGCTAGTTCAGCAATTCAAGTTCTGGTGCTGAAAATCATCCGGCCACAGCCAACAATCTGCCAATAATGCCAAAAATCCCCACAAAGCCTGCAAGCTTCAAAGATTTACATGACATGGAACTTCTCTCTTGAAGCTGTGCCAATTCTGCAATGCCGCTACGCTGTGTTTGAAAGACTCAGAACTTCCAAGCTTCGACTGTGGTACTACGAGGATGTTGTTTGGGCGTGCCAGTCTATTCAAGTTTGAAATTGCTGATACTTCCGATGGCTCACAGATGTTGAGGAGGCTGTGCTCTTGGCACTCATCGCCCAAGAGCACGTGTACATAGAGGCAGGGTGCACAACAGAGTCACGGCAGACGTGGAATTTGAACAAGCATTTGATCTACTGCACTTGTTGTCAAACAAAATCACGTTTCAGTGATTCTGAACTGGCAGACCTCCAAAAGCTATGGGTACACCGAATGGAAAACATCACATCCGGCTACAACACAAGATCTTTTGCATGCTTGAGGGCCTTGAGGGCAAGAGGTAGCTGGATGATGCTGGATGAAAGTTCGCAAATTGTATCATTTGATGTTTCTCGCAAGACTGTTGCTGTGGACATCCAAAATATATACTTGATCACAATCGACCAAAACGGCCAGGGTCCACCTGGTGTTGCCAAGACACTGCTTGCTGAGACTGCGGCGGAGGCATGTCAAGTATGGAGACACTGAGCGAAGCTGAACATATCTGATGAATTGCCTAAAGACAATCAATCCATATCAATCCACTACTACCACTACTATGTGGGAAGCTGCCTTGTCGCCAGCACTGTGCCCAATACCACTTCTTGGCTTTGTCCGCAAACTCTGATGGAACTGGAAATTTCCGAAGTTTCTTACTTCGGTAGATTCGGCAGGCTGCAGGCCTCTCTTTCTTCTTTTACCAGATGCACAGAGATACCAAGCTTCACGAGCTCATAGGTCCGTGAGTTGCATGTGCTGGCCTCCTTTGAAACACCTTGTTCGTTTTAGATCTTTGGTTCAGGAGATGCCGTGATTTTGAAGGAACCTGCGCCTGAAGGGGGTGAGTTGGTTCGCAGCCTCACACGCCCAGGCTTGACAGGGAAAGCTGAACAGTGGAATTGGCAGAACGAACATTTGGCAAATCAAAAACACACAAGACAAACAGTGGATGGCAATCTGGTTGGTCCATTTAGTTTACCTGTCAAGTTTGCTTCACAGAGCGCCCTTTTCCGCAACTGAAGGTGGTATTCTCACAGCTGAGCTTTGCGTGCTGGATGATATTTCTCGAGCCCCAGGTGCACTTCCTCAATGTTCAGTGTAGTCTTAGTTTCTTCTTGTTGATTTTTGCAGTGCAGTTCTCCGTTTCGATGCGGGGGACCGTCTTGTGGTAGCCTACCAACCGTCAGGGGAAGCCTTGAATATCCTACTTCGTTTGCTGAACGAGAGGTGCGCAGTGACATGGACGGCAAAAGAGGTCGGTCATGGTCAGTTTGAAAGAGTGAGCATTGCATTCTCTCGCTTTTGGCATTCTGCCATGCAATGTTTGCTTCTGGCTTTTGGTTTGCAGAACTTTTTAGGCAGTACAACGGGCCCAGCACAGGGTCAGAAAGTTGGCAGCTGCCGCTGCGGACGGCCATCGCGACTTCTAATCCTTCTGATCCAGGCCGACTGCTGACACCAGAGCAGGATGAGCAGCCTTAGAATCCTTAGATAGCCTTGGGATAGTGTGGCGTTCCAAGCCTATCAGGACCTAGCAGGGCACTAGGGATCTTTGGAATCTTATTGCAGTCCTGCGATCGGCGATGCGAACTGCATGAAACAGTGGCACTCCAGCTCAATCTAAGACTTCTAAAGATTCAATATTGCTTCATATTGCTTGCTTTTTTGGTTTGGGACATCTGGATTCAACATGGTTCAACGTTGCGATTTCACCTGTATTTTGCTTGGTTTTGTTCGGGTTCATGCCATATTCGTGCTGGGCCGGCAGGCCGTGCATCAACAAACGCCAGTTTGATGACAAACCACTGCTAGATTTCAGTGGCGGACCTTGCGCAAAGAACTCTGCCATATATCAAACATCCCCAGGTACTGTCTTGAAAGATCATGCGTGATATTTCGCTCAGCTTGGTTTTTTTCGAGGCTGAAGGTACTGCAAGTTTCCTTCATGAAGTTTTCATTTCCCAAAATTTGCCCTTCCAAATCTTCCAATTTGACATGTGCAGGGAGCCGTTACTATACGGAGCCACTGGATCCTGTGATGGCCTCAATAAGTTTGCTGAGTTGATGTCGGATGATGTCGATGTCGGCTTGGAAGTCTTTGTGGGATCCAGTGGCCAATAGTGGCCATGTTGAGGTCCCATTTTGTTCACCTGTTTTTTGTGTATGATGTGTATGACAGCGCTGATTTTGGTGAGCTTCTTCGCCAACACAAAAAGAGTAAGTACGAGTAGGCTAAGGAGGCTTCATTGAGCTGTTTATCTTATCTGATCTGATCTGATCTTATCTGATCTTATGTGCTTTTCAAAGAATTTCCTTGAGCAAAGTCGGAAAGGCTTGCCTTGATCGCTTCGTCCTGCAGTTGCGGAGTGATGGAGCTGTATCAGCGGGCCGCTGGGATGAGGCGGAGAGAATGGAGCGACGCGTTTGAAATTCTTATCATATCCCCTTATTACGGCCCAGTATTTTTGAGGGCCTAGGCAAAAATCGTTGATTTACGTTGATTTTATATCATTACCCGGTCATTTTGATTTACTCTTTCTTTTTTGGTCTCAGTATGCACAAGCCCAAGGGCCAAACGCAATGCGTGACAACTTCCCAGGAAGCTGCGGTTAGTTCGGGCTAATCTGGACGTGTGTGACGTTAGAAACTTCGCAAGGAAATCACAGCCTGCGCTCACAAATTGCACCAGTTGGACGAACAAATGGTTGGAACTCTGGAAACGCATGCTGGGATGCTGCTTCTGATGCGAAACCACATCAAAACATATTCAAATTCAAACCCGTCTTTCACATAACAAAATCTATGTGCTTAGGAAAGGCTTCAACAAAAAACATGAACCCACCAGGAGTTGGGCAAATCTAGCCTCTTACAAGCCAGTGCTGCGCCACCCCACAGTGGCTTTTGCTGGCTCTTGCACCTAGAAACGACCCAGAGACATGCATGATTTTCATGTCTTTCCATGTCTTTGCTACTTGGCCGCCGATTGGTTTGCAATGCAGGACGCTTGCATGCTTTTCTTACATGAAAACATAACACGGTTCGAATTGCGACCTATTGCAACTTGATTTTGCCTACGCGCAACAAAATAATTAATTACAACATATTTATTGACAACCTGGTTTGTCTCATTCCATCCTGATTCCGTTTAATTGCACCCCGACTTCCTTATATGAAGCAGCACAGCGCAAGTTCTTTTTTCATTCTTTTTCCTTGCGCACAAAAAGGCTGCAGGCGGCTGAACCTGCAATGCGGGTCTTATGTCCATGTCCAACCCTTTGGAACATGCTCTACTTTGAGGGGTGCATTTTTGCCTTACCGCCCGCACTGCCCCTTGGTGATTAGCTTCCCATGGGAAACATTCCGAATCCAAACTGAAAAATGCCTGCTTCATTTCATTTGGAAGAGAATGTAAGTAGGGATGGGTTGGTTTGCTTAATCAGTACAGGCTCGTTGACTCTGGAGCGTGGCCCCTGGTTTATCAATCAGATCAGATGTTTGTGGCAGAAATCTTCACAGGATTTGCAATTTTTTGCACCATATGGTAGCCTGGATATTGAGAAAAAACAATATTCAGCCCACGAACCCGGATGCTCAAACGTATGTTAATGGCACAGATGTCGAAACACATGGATATGCAGTCACGCAGAACCCTTTTCTGCAATAGTTTTTTGAACAGTCTACATATCTCCCTTGTTACCAGTCTGCAGTGTGGAGTGGAAAGTGTAGAGTGGGGAGTGTGGAGTGTGAAGTAAGAAGTGTGGAGTGTAAAGTGTGGAGTGGGGAGTGTGGAGTGTGTAAAGTGTAGAGTGTGGAGTGTGGGATGGAAAGTGTAGAGTGTGGAGTGTGGAGTGTAAAGTAAGGAGTGTGGAGTGTAAAGTGTGGAGTGGGGAGTGTAGAGTGTGTAAAGTGTAGGGTGTGGAGTCTAAAGTGTGGAGTGTGGAGTGCAGAGTGTGGAGTGTAGAGTGTGGAGTGAGGAGTGTAAAGTATGGAGTGAGGAGTGTACAGTGTAAATTGTAAAGTGTGGCGTGTAGAGTGTAAAGTGTAGAGTGTAAAGTGTAGAGTGTGGAGTGTAAAGTGGGGAGTGTGGAGTGTAAAGTGTGGAGTGTAAAGTGGGGAGTGTGTACAAAGTGTAGAGTGTGGAGTGTGGAGTGGAAAGTGTAGAGTGTGGAGTGTGGAGTGTGGAGTGTAGAGTGTAAAGTAAGGAGTGTGGAGTGTAAAGTGTGCAGTGGGAAGTGTAGAGTGTGTAAAGTGTAGAGTGTGGAGTCTAAAGTGTGGAGTGCAGAGTGTGGAGTGTGGACTGTAGAGTGTGGAGTGAGGAGTGTAACGTGTGGAGTGTAGAGTGTGTAAAGTGTAAAGTGTAAAGTGTGGCGTGTAGAGTGTAAAGTGTGGAGTGTAAAGTGTAGAGTGTAAAGTGTAGAGTGTTAAGTGTGGAGTGTAGACTGTGGAGTGTGGAGTGCAAAGTGTAGAGTGTAAAGTGTAGATTGTAAAGTGTGGAATGTAAAGTGTGGAGTGTAAAGTGTGGAGTGTAGAGTGTTAAGTTTGGAGTGTAGACTGTGGAGTGCGGAGTGCAAAGTGTAGAGTGTAAAGTGTAGAGTTTAAAGTGTGGAATGTAGAATGTGGAGTGTAAAGTGTGGAGTGTGGAGTGCGGAGTGGAAAGTGTAGAGTGTGGAGTGCGGAGTGTAAAGTGTAGAGTGTGGAGTGAGGAGTGTGGAGTGTACAGTGTAAAGTGTGGAGTGTAAAGTGTCCAGTGTGGAGTGTGGAGTGTAAAGTGTAGGGTGTACAGTGTAGAGTGTAAAGTGTAGAGTGTGGAGTCTAAAGTGTGGAGTGTAGAGTGTGGAGTGTAGAGTATAAAGTGTGGAATGTAAAGTGTGGAGTGTGAAGTGTAAAGGGTAGAGTGTGGAGTGTAGAGCGTGGAGTGTGGAGTGCTGCGCCTGCCACGCAAAATGACGATGGACACGTCCAAAGTGCTGCGCCTGCCACGAAAACTGCAACTCATCTTGTGGAAACGACGCAAAAGTATTGCGCCTGCCACACAAAACGACATTCGACACGTTATCACACGACCGGTTGCGAACGGTTGAGCAACGTCGAGCGAACACACCCTCAACCCCCAGACCCCCAGAGTGAAACGGGAACCCTTGCTACGCATTGGGGAACAAACGTGCAAGTTGCTGCATGGATTGCTGCACGACCCGTTACGCAAGATGCCACGCAAGGCAGCCCGAATCATTGACCTTTTCTCCGAAGGGCAATCTTCGAAGCCTCACCGAGATCACAAAGTGCTTCAAAACGGAGCAGCAGAATTGCAAAAAGCCACAGCAGCCCATGCCGCGGTGACTGTGCCATTGCCAGTGCGGCAGCGGGGCGACCCAGGACAAAGCTGTAACACATCCAACAGATGCAAGATGATGCAAGAGTCAAAATAGTCCGGTGTTTGGCGGCGTCAATTCTGCACATGTTTGCACAATGTTGCCACATCATAACTACGTTGCGGCGTGCCTCTTCCTCAATTTTTTTCAACTGCTTGTTTTGTTCCGACTGCCCATGCTTCTCCCAGATTTCGTACTTTTTAACCTTGTCCGGGCTGTTCAGGCTGCTGCTGAAAGTCTTGCAGCAGTTGGTCCAGAAGCACGGTGTGAATCAAAAGAATTCATTGCTTACCGCACCTTGGAAGAATCCCCAGATCAGCAATATCTTCGACGCGCGGCCAAGCGCATATCGTTTTCAAGTTGCAAGTTCTCCTTGATGTTTCACCCCAGATTGCCTCCCAACTTGGACGTAGCAGACCATACCACGCCAATGAAGTTGCGTCAGAGAGGATGCGCTTGAAATTTCTTGAACCTGTTGATTTTTTTCAGGACCGGACCTTCCTGGTGAAGGCTTTGCGGGTCATGCGTGCAAGAGCCGTGCTGGAAGGTCGTCAAGAGCCTTTTCCAAAGCAGCATCATGTAAGAGATAAACGCCAAAGACACGCTCCAAAGGGCATAGACAAATCAGAATGCTTGGAGGGCGATGGCGCAAAAGATATCAAAACATAGGGTCTTCATGGCTGCTTTGCCAACGTCAGTCTAAGGAATGCACAGCTGAAGACATCAACATCTTGACTTTTTTGACGCATCTCGCTTCAGTTTTTTTGGCATACTTCTGGGTGTTTTGACGGTTCAGTTGGGTTGTTTGCGAAGTCGACGTGCCAAGGACGTTTCGCTTGCCCGAAGGTGGCTTAGCCGCAAGCACCCAATTGTCTCTAGCCGAAAACACACGGAAGCATCTTGAACTTGGCTGAGGTATTCACGCGAAGATCCCACGCATTATTGCAGAAGTTATTCACAAGGGAGCTTCTAGCGGCTGAAAAAAGTGTTGAAGGGTTCTGAAGGGGAAATTGACCCCAATAGCAAAGTTTCGCATCTCCGTTGACGCTAATTTGGTATTGTCCGGGGAGCCATGTTATTCAAAAAAAAAACGTTTCTTCAATACCACCAAAACACCACCGGAACACGCCAAAACAGGACAGAAACACCAAGAAAACATGAGCACGACTCAAAACATCACCGAACACCGTCAAGACTTATGGGCACACAGCCAAAGTGCCACCAAGAACGCCAATGACCACCGAAATACAATTGACACCATCAGGACAGACGCAACCAATTCCCGAAAGGGCCCGCGAAGGGCTTTTGTTTTCCCAAAAGGTTGCTGCCAGCATACGTTGGCATAATATCATTTTTCCCATCACCATCATCACAACACCGTCAGTACAGACATCCACCATCATCAAAACACCATCGTCGTCATCATCACGTTCTTCTTCATTTTCTTCATCATCATCACCATCATCACCATCATCATCGTCATCATTTTCTTCAACTTCATCATCAGCATTGTTCTTTTTCATCAACCATGCCCGTATCGTCATCATCATCATCATCCTCCTCCTCATCATTATCATCTTCCTCTTCTTCTTCATCCTCACTTAAGCACATCTACAAAATGAACTTTATGTAAGCAGGTGTTGATGACAGGCGTTTCTGCGTTTAGGTGCGGATTCAAAGACGCAGGTTGACAGAATCTTCTTTAACACAGCTACCAAACGAATATATGCCATATGCAGGTGTGGTGCGGAAGATATTTAGATGCAGGCGGAAATCGTTTTTTGGAAACGAGAAGTGGGTATATGCAGGTGTGACGCGGCAGATGTAAAGACGCAGGTGGAAATCAATTTCCTTACAGACACCTACAACCTTGATTGTAACTAATTTTTCTCATCGAGCGGCAAGGCAGCGTGGATTGATGTCCACGAAACGCAACCCATTCGCACGAAATGTCGATCGTCATGCATTGAGGTCAAAATGCAATGTCCTGGGCCAACCCTTTCCCGCGAAATGCGTCTCGAACATCAAAAGTTGTGGTGAAACTGTGATTTTGCATATGCTTGCTGAACTCTTTGCGCCATACGCGTGTCCGCCACAGGAAAGAATTCAGTAGTATGTCTGTGTGAAAATGCTCATAGCTAAAAACTCTTCGTCAGTGTAAAATCATCTCTCTGTAAAAGTATTTGCGTGTAAAAAGGCATCTCGCTGTGCGAAGGCGTCTCCGTGTAAAGATATCTCTGTGTAAAAGCATGTGTGATCAAAGGCATCCCTGTGACAGAGCATGCGTGTATGTAAAGAAAACGCGCGCAAAATGAACACCGCCGTGTAAAAGTATTTGCATGTAAACGTGCCTGCCACTGTGTGTCAAAGTGCCTCTGTGCAAAAGTGCTTTCGTGTAAAGGAATCTCAGCGTAAAAGAATGTGTGCGTAAAGCACTGTGTACTGTAGACGTATTAACATGTAAAAACACCTGTGTAAAAGCATCGCTGTATAAAGGCACCTGCGTTGGCAAAATCATCTCTGTGTAAAAGTATATGTATCTTAAAGCACCTCTGTGTAAAAGCATCTTTGGGTTGAAAGTATTTCTGTGTAAGAGCACCTGTAAGTAGAAGCATCCCTTTGTGAAATCATCTCTCTGCGTAAAACCATCTCTGTGTGAAGGCCCCTCCCTGTGTAGAAGCCTTTGTATGTAAACGCATCTCTCTGTAAAAACAAAATGGATGGACATGTGATTCCCAAATGGCTTGAACCTTCCCACAAATCGTGTTTCCAGCCTCACCCATGTAAGAGTACCTGCATCTTGCTTTGACTAGGAATCCCATTGAGCATTTTGGTCCCTTTTGTTCGCCTGTGATTCTGGTTCAACATTGGTAGCGGAGCCCTGAGGGGTATCTCCGATGGTTCTTATTCCCATTGTTGGTTGGTTGATTCTGCTGTTAATAGTGGGGATAGGCTGCCTGCTGCTTCCTTAGGACTTGCCGTCATGGAGGGATCACCAGCCGACCCGAGCCAAGGGAGTACCCTAGGCCTTCAGGAAGATCCACTGCAAATGCAAATGAAGGATGAAGGATCCGTGGAAGCGACCTATGGTCCAAGTCCCAATCGTGGGGCTAGTGCCAGCGGTCACCAGCCTGGGAGTGGGATTGGCGCAGTTGATGTTACGCAAGGGGGTCCAGAGACAGTTCCACCGGTTTTGAGCGCTGCATCCAACACCATGCCCAACATGTCGCCATTGCCTTTTTCCACACGTTTTGGATGTTCTCCATCACCTGGTTGTGTACCCCCAGTTTTGCCGCATCCATGTCCTCAAGTTCATGGACCTTGTGGATTTTATCCTGGGCCTGTTGCTAGTGGAGGGGGATTTCAAGAATGGTTGATGATGAATATGCTTATGATGATGAAGGGGCATAGTAAGGGCGCATCTTCTGATCTCTCCTCATGGTATTTGCCCCCGTCGTCTGACAGGAAGAAGCCGAAAGAAAGTCGAAAGAAGAAAGGTCAGAAGGAGGATGAAGATGAGGAGCCTGAAGGTTCTGACAAGGAGCAAGGAGGCAGAAGACCCCCAGAAGGAGGCCGCAGACCCCATACCCAGATCCCTCAGAAGAGCCCTCATCAGAACCCACAGAAGAGACAGGATCTTCTGTCAACACCTCAGAGGTGAGAAGCCGGAGAAGGGCAAGAGTCCGAGAGGAAAGACCGAAGAGCAGCCTCGCCTCAGTAAAGATAGAGGAGTTCTTTGGAGACAGGAGCAAGTATCTGAAGTGGAAGCGTGCAGTCCAGGCGCAGCAGCAACTCTACAGGCTGGAGGAGGAAGAGTTGGCAATGTTGATATACTTGTCAACGAAGAAGGATGCAAGGGACTGCCTGGAACAACTCACTGTGAATGAGTACACACGCCCTGGCGGGCTGAAGCTGGTGTGGAAACTCCTGGACGAAGGTGGAGAAAGCATGGAAGACGACGGGCTTGAGGAGGAAGACCTCAAGGAAGCATGGGCAGCTGGGTGGAAGGCCAAGGCCCAGCAAGCAGAGAAGAAGAAGTTCGGAGGATGGAAGGGCGATCCCAAAGGACAAGAAGACAAGCGCAAACGCAACTCCACCTGCAGCAGCTGCGGAGAAGTGGGACATTGGTGAGGAGACCTAGAGTGCCGGAACGTGAAGTCAGGGAAAGACACTCTTCACAAGAGGAAGGATACAGCAAGACAAGCAAAGCAAGCACTAACAAACACACACGAAGCCAATGTGATCCACTACACCTACCTGGTGTCACACGCCAGCACCAGGAAGGTAAAGACAGAAGCAGAAGACAAGAAGGAGACCAGGCCACAACGCCATGAGGAGAAGAGGTGTATGAATCTAATGTGCGGATTCCCAGCAAGGGGGTCAGACAGGTTTTGCTCCACCTTCAGTACCAGGATTCCAGGAGATGAGAGGACGTCACCAGACAAAAGAGGCTGGTCTCTGGTGAGCGATGATGAAGGGCCAGAGACGGTGGAGAGGCCCAAGACCTACTCTATCAAGAAGAGCACCATGAAGGAAGCGGCAGGTGCAGGCAAGAAGGGCGGAACCGCCGAAGGTGCCGAGGAGATGCTGGAGCTGTCGGCCTTGGAGGTGATTGCGGCCCTTCCGACGAGGAGCAAGTCGGAGAAGAGGGCCCTGAAGTGCTTCCTTTTGAAAGAAGAAGAGCAAATGGCATGGGAGACATGCAGGAAACACCGAGGGGAGGATGAAGTGAGGATCGGCCATGATGAGAAAGGAAGACCCTCGGGAGCAACTGGGAGTGGAGGATACTCTGAGCAGTTGCCAGTTCCTCCAAAGAAGGCCGAATCAGTGAAAGATGCTTTTGAAACCCTTGAGCAGGGCAAGAAGAAAGATGCCCCCAGGAAAGTCAAAGAGCGGATGCTGCATGACTTGGCACAATTTGTACCAGAGCCAACTGGATGGAAGCCGGCTCATTCCATCACGATGCTCACCCCTCCCCAATCAAGAGCAAACACAATGCCCCCATTGCTACAATGACCCAAGATGGTCAGCAAACGCCGAGGGACACTACGCCAAGTGTCGGAAGTGCGATCTGAAGCAGGTGATCTACTTCCACGAAAGACATGGAGCCCTGATGATGAGCCAGGAAACAGAGCATCAGGCAATGGCATGAAGAGATGCAGGCCGAACGAAGGCAAGGAACTTAAGCTGGCTTGAGGAGGAAGAGACGGAGACATTCCGTCTTGGCTCAGGAGGCCCAGAGGAGCCGGTGGAGGAGGAACCACAGAATGCCCAGGTCTGTTAGGACCAAGTGAACTGGCCCGATGGAGTGCAGTGGTGAAGTTCAAGGAGAGGCAGGGAAGAGCCGGCACAGAGCTCAAGGAATTCTATCCAGGAGAAAGGGTGTACTTCTGGGTTCCTGCAGCGAAGCCAGTGCACTACAGGAGGGATGCCGGAGTATGGAGGGGGCCAGCAAGTATCGTGGCAAAGGAGTCCACGGGAAGATACTTTATAAGCTGGAGAGGAAGGTGCCTCCTGGTGGCTGCAACAAAAACCTCCGTGCCAGCTCGAATGAGGAAGCGGCAGACGCGAAGGAAAGCCTCAAAGAGTTGGAAGAGTTAGAAGAAGACGGTCTCCGAAAGAAGGAGTACGAAGTAGTTCCCCAGAGGAGGACAGAAGAAGACGAGAGCAAGGGATGGAAGGCAGATGAAACCACCATCACTAAAAGCCGTTTTGGCAGAGGAAAGAGAGAGGCACAGCAAATGGTGAGAGGCCTGAGAAGCATGAAGAAAGTCATCAAGGAGCCCTTCCTGAAGAGAAGATACAACAGACGGCAGAAGCAAGCACCCCACACAGCACAAGCAGAGGAGCCAGCAGCTGCAGCCAGAGCAAGGAGCCTGTCATATGAACCGTCCATCGCCCCAGATGAGGTGATGGAAAGAGAGGAGAAGACACAAGAAGGGCAAGACCGAGAAGATGAGGAGTTTTGGAAGGAAGTCGCAGATACAGAAGCAGCACACGACAAGGAAGAGACTGAGAAATAGCCAAGAGAAGACGGCTCCTGCTCGACGATGTGCCACACTCCTTGAAGAGGAAAGAAGTTCCAAGAGAAGAAGACGAGGCACAAGAGGCAGAAAGAAAGAGGCTCAGACCAGCCCATTTCAACTACGTGAAGAACGTCGTGATGGAAGACGACATAGCCGCAAGGCTGGCAGAGAAGGCAGGAAGGAAGATAGAAGCCACACGAAGGGCAAGTGAATGGATGAGCCGAGGGGAGGTGAGGCAGTTTGCCAGTCTGCTAGACATGCCCATCTGCACAGTGAGGATCCACAAACAAGCAAGGAAGAAGATGCAACCTCCACCCTCAAGGAAGAAGAGAGGAAGAATCACCATTATGCTGGGTGAAAGAGATAGCCAGGCCATGGTCACCTACGAAGATGCACAAGCTGTGGCGAGAGGGCCACGCAGACACACCGGCATCAAGTGGAGAGGAATGACCCTCTTTACAAAGCAAGCAAAGCCACCAGAGCAGACAGACACACAAGCATACATCCAGGTAGGAGATGCAATGTATGCCATGCCTTTTGAAGATACAAAGCTATGGCAAGCATTTGTAGAAAGAGAGGAGGAAACAAGGGTGGCGTCAGAAGCACTCCTTCTGAAGATGAAGGCCAACGGAAAGGAGTTAGACCCAAGACACTTCAATCAGGAAGAAGCTTCAGCTTTTCGGAAGAGCGATCAAGCCGAATGGCGGTCTTGGGGAGATAACCATGTACTGAAGAGACTCAGTGCCGGTGAAGCTGCCAAAGATCCCAAACATCTAGTGTTCAAGGCACTTCTCAGGATAGTAAGAGTCAGCAAGGCAAAGCCAGGAGATCCTTTGAAGCCAAAGAGCAGGCTTGTAGTCCGGGACATTTAGACCCAGAACTAGGTGGACACAGAACTGACAGTCCAACAGCCAGTCCCATTGCCGTCAGAATTTGATTTTGTGTTACAAAAGGATGGGTAGCTCCGGTCTTTGATGTAAGTACAGCTTGTCTCTCTGGCCAAGAGACGGAGAGAGCGGTGTACGTAAGAGCACCACCTGAAGGTCTCCCACCAGTGCAGGGCATGACCGAAGTTGCCCCACATGAACTGCTTCGAGTAGTGAAAGGAGCTTATGGTCTTGCAGAAGCTCCCGGTCTTTGGTATCTCCGAGCACTTGAATTGTTGGAAAAGGCTGGGATGAAAGAACTTTCTTTTGCGCGTTCCACCTTTATCTATCTGGCCACAGATGGAACTCCAATAGCTGCATGTTGTGTCCATGTGGACGACGGTTTGTTGATAGGCCAAGGAGATCACCCAGAATTTCAAGAGCTTTTGGGAAGAATCAGTCAGTCTTTCAATATCAAAGAATGGCAGAAGGTAGGCGTAAAACCGACCAAATATCTGGGCATGGAAATGACTCTGATCAACAACGTCTTCACTGACGACATGACCAGCTATGTCAACAACATCCAGCCAGCCGAGATCAAGGTGACTGGTGATGGACCGCTGAACCCTCAACAAACCACAGCTTTTGGTCGTTTAGTCATGCAAAGGCGGTGGCCAGCACAACACGTTCTACCCGAGTTCATGTTCATCGTGAGCGAATTGGCTCAAGTAGCTACGAGAGCCACTGGCAGTGACTGGAACAAAGCATGTAAGGTTTTGAAGGAGATGCAAGATAGTGCAGCCAGAGGGAAAGCCAAGATCACCTATCATCCCCTGGATGATCAACCAATGGTAGTCACATACTTTGATGCTGTGCTTGGGAAAAAGAACGAACTCAGAGCCCAGCAGGGGGAGTTTCATTTTGTCACGACCAAGAAGGCCTTGATTGAGAAGACCTTCGCCAATGTGATTGAGTATCACTATGTATCACTCCAACAAGATCAGTAGGGTAGTGAAACGCTCCATGGCCGCTGAAGAGTGTTCTATGACGTCAGCATCTGACAAGCAGCTTTACAACAGGCTGCTACTGCAAGCTTTGTGGTTTGGTAAAGTGCAGCTGGAAACGAACTGGCGAGAAAAACTGTGCATCCAAGGCGTTGTCGTCACAGACGCCAAGTCGTTGTACGATCACTGCGTGAAAACGGGCCATTTAGCGAGTGAGAGGCAGACTGCCTTATACACCCTTCAGACCAAAGAGTTGCTCCAGAATGGTTTTCTGCAACTCAAGTGGACACCAACGTTCCGCCAGTTAGCTGATGGATTGACCAAGGAAATGGAACAGTTTCTTCTCCGGGAGTGGTAGTACAAAGTAGTACTGGGAAGTGTTTTGTGCAAGCTTTGTAGTACAAAGTAGTACTGGGCAGTGCTTTGTGCAAGCTTTGTAGTACAAAGTAGTACTGGGAAGTGTTTTGTGCAAGCTTTGTAGTACAAAGTAGTACTGGAACGTGTTTTGTGCAAGCTTTGTAGTACAAAGTAGTACTGGGAAGTAGTTTGCGCAAGCTTTGTAGTACAAAGTAGTACTGGGAAGTGCTTTGTGCAAGCTTTGTAGTACAAAGTAGTACTGGGAAGTGCTTTGTGCAAGCTTTGTAGTACACAGTAGTACTGGAACGTGTTTTGTGCAAGCTTTGTAGTACAAAGTAGTACTGGGAAGTAGTTTTTGCAAGCTTTTGTAGTAGACATCAGTATTGGGAAGTACTTGACATGAAAATAGCCAAAAAGAAATTAGCTGACATATGGGAAGACATGGAATGAGATGAGAAGAGCTCAGATGAGATGAGTTGAGATGAAGTGCAAGTGTGGAGTGTGGGGTGTGAAGAGTGCAATGTGAAGTTTGAGGAAAGTGTTTGCATTGTACCGGGGTCGCGCGCAGGTCATGTTCTTGGACAGCAACACTGCAACAGCTTCGCACAAAGCACACACGCACGGGCCTGGCTGGCGCACGGCGCATGCAATTTCCTTACTAGTAGTACTGGGAAGTGATTCATGAAAGCTTAGATGACATATGAGAAGAGATGGGATGAGAAGAGATGAGCTGGGATAAGGTGAGAAGAGCTCAGATGAGATGAAGTGTGGAGTGTGAAGGGTGCAGTGTGAAGTGTGGGGCGTGAAGAGTGCAGTGTGAAGTGTGGAGTGTAAAGTGTGAAGTGTGGACTGTGAAGTGTGAAGTGTGGAGTGTGAAGTGTGAAGTGTGGACTGTGAAGTGTGAAGCGTGGAGTGTGCAGTGGGAAGCGTGCAGTGTGAAGTGTGGAGTGTGGAGTTTGAAGTGTGGAGTGTGAAGCGTGAAGTGCGAAGTGGAGCTTTAAATGTGACATGTGAAACAGGACACCACTTTCGAAGAATGCATGCGCGCACGGGCTTGGCTGGTGCAAGGCGCATGCAAGTTCTATAGATGAGAAAGGTCTTATATATCCCTAAGGCAACTTCCGCGCCGCCTCGTGCGGGTACTACTGGTATGATCTCATATGATTTGTCTCATTTGCACAGCAGCCGACCTAGAATTCGAAGAACATAGAGCAAAGATCAGGAAAGCCCAACGTGAACGAAGAGCAGCCAGATTGAAAAGTCAACGTGTTTTTTCCTCGATATGAAACATCGATGTGGCACACAGTTTTGGCATGCTCATGTAAAGCTATTCCGTTGGTGGCTTGACTTTTCGAATCTTGGACCACCCGCAGCTGACGTCAGCAATCGCATGCTAGAAACATCCCCCCAGCTTGCTTGCCTGCATCTTGCTTTGACTAGGAATCCCATTGAAGCAGGTCGTTTTGTAAGCCAAATTTTGGGCGAGGGTTGGGAAACGGTGGATGATCCAGTATAGCAATGTCTCGAAGATGTCTATGTGCCAATGGAAGCCTACTGTTTTGGCTCATTTCCTGCACCAGCTGAAAACCATCAGCGATTATGGTGCTACGTATCCTACTTTTGATAGTGGCCTCGGCCGCGGAAGATGATGAGGCTTGTATCACAAACAGCGTTCTCACGACAAACACATGTTGGCGATATGACTGTGGCTGCTCGGCTGCCCCTGATGTCAGGCCAATATTTCTTGCCAGCTGCTGCAGACTGGCCTACATTTCAGCCACGCACGGACAGAGAGACGCAAGTGGAATGTTAGCGTGGCAAACGGAGTTTGCCAGTCATTTTCCTCGATCGAGCAGGACTCACTTGGTAATATCTCATGGCCGCAGCCTTCATAACTTTAAGGGGATCAATTGTGGAAGGCGTATGAAAGCCTCAAGACTGCTTCTATCAACATCCCCTGACCTTAGTTTCAAAAATCGATGTCGAAGTCTTTCTGTGTTGTCATATGTTGTAGCAGCTGCGTCGAAGGAGATGTACGAGCCAATGGTAAACGTGACTGAACGGTTGGGCGAGGATGGTTGGTGCATCTTTGGAGGGCTAGGGATCTGGGCGAGAAACTGTGCAATAGCGCGGCGCACGCGCAGCCCAATTCATTTCGTACAAACGCTACTAAGCTGATTAAGCTGATCAAACTCACAGCATCTAACAGTTCACACTTTCCATGTTTTTCCATCACAAGTTGTTTCGTTGTTTCAAGTTTGCCTTACTTTGTTTGCTTGCGTTTTTTGTCCCTATTTGCCGACGTTATTTTTGTTGATTTGTCAAGTGAGGTATGAAGATGCATACAAAGGATTTATGAATGGGCCGCAGGCAACGCCTTTTACACTTCGTTTTCCTGACAATCGCACTCTAATCATCCGTGATCATACTTACCCCTTGGATGATACTTATTGTTTTCTGAATGGATGGTACGACTTTCCTCGAGCTGCTCGAGCTGAACTCGTTAGCAATTTTTCCTACCTTGAAGAAGTGTCAGATCGCTACTGTGATCACCTGGCAAAGACCTTTCCTGGATACTGGAACATCACCATGGCCGATTTGTGGACAGAGTCTACATCAGATGAAGCATTTTTGCATGACATCCAGAAGAATGGTGCCGATATCGGATATGCAACTCCGTCATTTGTGGATGGCATGTATCTGCATGCAGCAGCCAAATGCGTAATGCGAGGACCGCCGCCTCTTTGGGTTGTACTATACTATCTAGTAAAGTATATTGTGAGGGAAAGTTGTCAAGTCAACAGTCCTTGTATACAAACAACAGTATGTCCAATGGCTTCCGAGCAAGCATCTACTGTAGACAGCGACACACACTAGAAGCACGTGGTTTGTGGCTGTCCCCTCAATTGGTTTCCTTTCAGCTGGTGTGAATATATTTTATGTTGCGTTTTCCTTGAACAGGAGGACACCGTGGAGCAGTTTGTGACATCGCAAACTGTGCTGCCCGGGCCTGCTTCGGTGCTTCACCTGGTGAGCTCCTATACACCGCACGGGGTGAATGCGAGCTCGCAAAATAGGACGGGGCCAGAAGAGTGGGCACAACACTTTCCAAAGACTAAGACTATTATTATTTCTGTCCTCTCATGAAGGCCACTGGACAGAACGATGCGCGTGACTTGGGTGTGAGGGAAAAAAGGTTAAAAGAGCATGCTGCACCACGAGGCATTTGTTTTCTCTCTATCTATACGGTTGCGCGTTTTGCTTCCCAAAAGGGCAAAGCAGGTTGCGGCAAGTTCGGGCGGTCAGCGCACATGATTGTGGAAAGTGTTCGGCCATGTTCCACTAGTGTTGTGTAATGCGCAAGAAGAGACGCTGCATGTGCACGCTGGCAAGCTGGATTTGTCTCCAAACATTCCAAACCTCTCTTGAGCTTGCATCCGGCCTGCATGCATGAGATAAAAAGATGATAAATGAGACAGCATGAGACAGCATTCGGCAGCATACGAAACGCTTCAAATCTCCGTTGGTTTCGTTGGTTCCTGGCCTGGAGGCCGCACGAATCAAAACATGGCAGGTAGAGCACCTCACCAACATTCACCAACACTTCCCGCAAAAATCATCGGCACTGTTCCACCACCTCCGGGATTCAGAAATGGACATGTGTACAAAGCTTTCTATGCAAAATAGGATCTGTATGAAGCGACTTTGTATGAAGTGCTTTCAAAGAAGGTATATGCAGGTATATGTAGCCAAGTACAGTATTTGGAGTGTCGTGACAGAGTGTGGGAGAAGTGTTGTGAAAGGGTGTCTCCTTTGCTGTGTGTTATGGAGACATGTTGCTCAACAGCTATCGTTTGGAGTGGTCAGCTGATCATTGGTTGCGAAGCTGTGGAGTGTGTTCGAATGCGACCTGATGTTGTTTTCGATCGCGGCCATAGTAGACATGTCTATGATGTACCAGGTCCATGCAAAAGAACGTAGGACGCTGGGAAGAGAGCAGGGCCTCCATGTTAGTTACCCCCCGCTCGGAAGCTATGCTGTGCTACATGGCTCTCGAACATCTTGTCACCTCAGTGACCTAAGTAGTTCTGAGTGGCCTAAACTGGGCCTAAACGGCCTAAAGTCCCCAGCTCTTTGCATTTCCCATATCATCTCAGCCACACAAGGAACATATTAATAAGATGCATATGATATGGTTGCACATTGTTAGGCTGCAGCTTTTAGAGCACATGCGTGGCATTGATATTTCTCCCAGCGTCGCAGCACCGCTGGCGAATTTCAGTCCAAGCATTCTTTGCAGAGGTGCTTTCAGTTCATCTTTCATCCCAGCTTTCTGAGACGTCCTTTATCCAATATCCATTTTCTTGTTTCGTTTGGCTCGCCGCTTTAGCTCTCAGATGTTTCATGGGTGAATTTGAACACAGGCTCCTTTCAAGATGCTCTCGCTTCGAGAGCGCAGCATCGAAGAACTTATGCATCACACAGCTTGGAGCAGAGTGAGCGTAAGGCGTGCAAATATGCGCCAGTCACATGAAACATGCTACGTTGATCCACGTTGCATCTTCCAAGCTCTTCGTTCGCATGCTGGCACTGGAGCTGCTGGCAGTGCAGCTTGGCAAACCTTCAGAGCATTGGGAGATTTGTCATCCATCGACTGCATGTGGTCACCAAAAATCATCTGTTCAGTTCAACGGCCATGTCCGTGCTCAGGCTGCAGTTGTGCCGCAGCAATGATTGCGATGGTAATTGCGCAGGGACCGCTTTCCTACAGCAGCACCATCAACTTATGCTGCAACGGTCACTGAACGTCTCACAGAACGTCTCACAGGCTGTGTCACAGTGCTTGGGCCTCCAGTTGAAACAATGCAACAGATTTCAACACATTTTGCCTGATGTTTAGGCGAAGGATGTCTCGTTTGGATGTTAAGGGAGGATGTGCAGGTTCGACGCTTTCTCTATGCACGTTCTCAACAGCTAACAACCAGCAGTTTCTCACTAGTGCTACGCGTAGCTACGGGTGGCTGGCTTGCGCAGATCCAATCCGTTGAGCCCTTTCGTGGCTTCAGTTTGTGGCAGGCGTCCGGGCTGCTTGACCGCATTCTCTTCTTGACAGAACCGTGGGACGAGGCTGGACTTCAGGTCGTGGAAGGCGATGAATTCTGTTTGAAGAGAATCCTGAAGAATCGCAGTTGAAGAATCCCAGTGCTGTTGTGTGCCTGGTTCTGTGCGGAGTTTGCTGCATTTTGCTGCCTATTTCACGGTGAGGCTCAGTGTGCGCGAGCGCCTTGGATGTGCGCGGCACCCTTCGATTGCCTCAATACCACCGGCCAGGTGGAAACTCTGCAGGTCCGTCGATCCGACGTCACAGCGAGTAACGCAGAGCATGGTATATGGCCTAGCTATCATGGAATCACTGGTATGGATTTGGCAACTGGCTACGGATGAAAATTATTCAAGCCCCAAGGATGATTGAAACATGATCACAACCTGTGGTTTGAAGGCCCATGAATATTGAGCCGGGCGATGCACAGCTGGCTGCAACTGGTCGTGTTTGCGAGGAGCTTAAGCAGCACCTGGCGAAGCCCAGCGGAGTTAATCTGCAGTCCTGGTGCCATGCCAATCCCACGCAGTGGCAACCAGGTTTCGAATGCATCATAAAGCAGGAGACGGGGCAAGGGCTTCGAATGTCGCTTTTCACTTCGAAGATTTCTTTTATGCATCTGTTTGGAAAAGTAGTGGTGTCTACAACCTTTGGAAATGTAATGAGCACATGTTTCCAGTTGGCATACACAGAAACGGCATGAAATTGCAAAGCGACCGCAAAGTGTTCTGAGCTCCATCACAGGGAAGGTTTTCTTTGACACTCCGTTCAGTAGAAGTTGAAGTGGTACAAAGAGAACTCCGTCTGAAACAGGACCTACAAGGCTACGCCGCGTTGATGCGACAAAGCAGCATTGAGTATCACTACGAGATTTATGATGCAAGCTACTGCTTCATGTCTGGGCATTGCGAGAACGATCCTTGGCCACAAACCACCAAACAAAAATCAAGCTTGGGTAAGCCAGAAGCGGAAGTTGAGCAACGGCGTTGGTAGACCTTTAAAGTGACCTTTTGGTGGTCAAGTGCTTATTTCGGGTTGTGAGTGCCAAACTGGGGTGTGAAAAGGTCACCAGTATTTTTTTTTAAACCCGGTTGAGTGTCAAGGACCAGGTGACGCTGAACACCACCGTGCAGGAGGCGGAGCAACTGTGCGATGAACGCTTTCCAGAGCCGCAGGCAGCGAGAACTGCATCATAGACCATGGAAGATGCGAACGGAAAATCATAGACCATGATCAATTGAAGAACATGAAACTGGGACAGGGAGATGCACCAAAGTTCAGAAGCATAAAGAAAACTTCATTCTTCATATTGGAACGTGGAAGGCACGAGGCCTGACCTTTCAAAAAGAGCCCGGGGTTAGCTAAAATAATCTAAAATAGCTATCTTGAGTCCTCCTCCCTTATGTTGTGTTTTCCCCAGACGTCGATCTCTTGTTCTCGTCATTTTGGACCGACCTCCTCGTTTGCTTCCGGAAACCTTTTTGGTAGATGTACACTGTTTGGGGCTAAGACTGCTGTGCTAAGATTGCACCTTTGAACCACTACGGTGATATTTTTGCATGTTCTTGTTTTCGGCTGCCAAAAGCTCCATGGCTGAGGTTTTGCGCTCAGAATCTCATGTTCATGATGACTCTTATTAGGCATTTGCTTTTCGTTCCCACATGGTCATTTCCAGAACCTTCTCCAAGCCTAGGAGGACCAACCACTTCATTGAACCTGTGTACTTCTACAGCTTTCGCATTAAACCTTGCACTGTCACGAGTGAAACAAGATGCAGCCCACGAACCCGAATGCTCACACGTATAACAGATGTCAAAACACATGGATATGCGATCACGCCGAACACTTTTCTGTAATAGTTTATTTGAACAGTCTTGTACATATTTCCCCTGTTACCAGTCTGCAGTGTGGAGTGTAGCGTGTGGAGTGTAAAGTGTAGAGTGTGGAGTGTGGAGTGTGGAGTGTAAAGTGTAAAGTGTGGAGTGTGGAGTGTGGGGTGGAAAGTGTAGAGTGTGAAGTGTGGAGTGTAAAGTGAGGAGTGTGGAGTGTGGAGTGTAAAGTGTGGAGAGCGGAGTGCGGAGTGGAAAGTGTAGAGTGTGGAGTGCGGAGTGTAAAGTGAGAAGTGTGGAGTGTGGATTGTAAAGTGAGGAGTGTGGGGTGTAAAGTGAGGAGTGTGGAGTGTAAAGTGTGGAGTGAGGAGTGTAAAGTCTGGAGTGTAAAATGTCAAAAGTGTGGAGTGTAAAGTGTAGAGTGAGGAGTGTGGAGTGTAAAGTGTGGAGTGTGGAGTGTAAAGTCTCGAGTGAGGAGTGAGGAGGGTAAAGTGCAAAGTGTAAAGTGTGGAGTGTAAAGTGTAGAGTGTCCAGTGTGGAGTCTAAAGTGTAAATTGTGGAGTGCGGAGTGTAAAGTGTAGAGTGTGGAGTGCGGAGCTTCCCCTATAGACACGGCGATGCCACAGGAAGACCAGCGACTCGAGACGAGACGAGCGGATGCAGCGACGCCACAGGAAAACGAGAGACTCGCGACAAGACACGTGGATGCAGAAAAAACAGCATTTCGTACGAGACTTCCTCCAATTTTCGCAGGTGGCAACATGACAAAAGGACAAGTTTTGCAGCTTCCCCCATAGACACGGCGAGGCCACGGGAAAACCAGAGACGCGAGTGGACGAGCATTTCGTGCGAGACTTCCTCCAATTTTCACACTTTGTAGCTTCAAAATCGACGTTTTCCTACGAGTTTTCCTTAGAACCTGAAAATTTGCAACCTCAAAATCGATGTTTCGTGCGAGGCTTCCGTCAATTTTCAGCACACCGCACAAAATGCCACGACTGCCACGGAATTTGCACCTTGTCGCCACTTGACGCAGCACTGCCAATGCGATTTGCACAAAAAACTCGCAACACAACACGTCTAAAGTGCTGCGCCTGCCACGAAAAATGACGATGGACACGTCCAAAGTGCTGCGCCTGCCACGAAAACTGCAACACATCTTCTGAAAACGTCACAAAAGTATTGCGCCTGCCACGCAAAACGACTTTCGACACGTTCCAGAACACGTCTGAATGTCACGAAGTGCCACGCCTGCCACGCGAAACGAAGCAACCAGACGTCTGAAACCTCCAAAAAGGACCACCTCTGCAAAACTTCCCATAGGCACGGCCATACGGTCCTCACACGAACGGTTGGGAACGGTTGCGAACGGTTGCGGACGGTTGCGGACGGTTGCGGACGGTTGCGAACGGTTGCGACCACAAACGCAACGTCGAGCGAACACACCCTCAACCCCCCAGACCCCCAGAGTGAAACGGGAACCCTTGCTACGCATTCGGGAAAAACTCTCACCAAATAGTCACCGCTGAGTCATCTTTCTCAGTCTTTTTCAAAGTCCGGCTGCAGCTGACTGAGGGATGGCGAAGCGTGGGCTTGCAGTTTCCAATGCCATCGCCCCCCTTTTGGACAATGGCCGACGTGAAGCAGATCGAGCTGTTGGCTTGCGCAACAGAGCCTTGGAGACCGTGGCGTAGAGGCTATGCTCTTGTGATGATGTTAGACATACACCGGGGTGAAAGACGGTGAAAGTAGATGGCACAAACCCAAAAAGGTAGTTATATGTGTAGAGGGCCCACTTCAATGAAGAGGGCTCACTTAGACGAACACACGATGCTTACGCCATCTACTTTCCAGATGGTCTACAGAATTGATGATAAGCTACTTGGACTTGTGTTCAGAAACACCGGGGCATGTGCACCATGTCCAGCGATCTACAGTGAGAGCGTTGCATAAGAGTTTGCTAAGGATTTGTGAGGGTACCCTCGGATTCTTAAATTAGTATTGTTTTGATCTTCAATACATTTATGTGGGCAGGCTTGAGGGCCCTCAGATTCTTATTTCAGATTCTTATTTGCAGCTGCCGTTTTTGTGCAGCAACACCAATATGAAGTAAGGAGCGTCGCCCCCTCAGCTGGGCTTTGGTTCTGTACAAAAGAATCCGGGGGGACGCTTCCGTGCGCAACACTCCTACTTAAATTAAGAATCCCAGGGTTTTGCTTCTGCGCGCAACAGTCCACTTAAATTAAGAATCCCAGCCCACGCAGAAGCAACACCTTGTTCAGATTGCTTGGGCCACAAGAACGGTTCCTCCAAATCAAAATTCCCGAATCAGAACCCTGACACTGCACTTAGGGGAATGTGCTTGTGGTCCAGTTGGGATGCATTGGCTTAAGAATCCATCTCCAAATTTGAGGGGGCCCTCGGATTTTGATTTAATTATTGAACACGTATTTCGGAAATACATTTAAAGCGCTGGCCGCGAGCCTGTTGGATTCTTAAATCAATGAGTTCTTGCATTGCACACCTCTATACATCATGCTATAGTGCAAAACCGTGCTGCAAACTGTCCACACAACACCAGGACTAAGAGATGCATTGCGCTCGTTTCCTCATCCCTGTGACTCTCGTTCTTCGCCCACATTTTTCGTCCTGCCAACCTTCGCTGTTCCCATGACTTCTTTGGTCAGAGCCCTTGCACTAAGAGGACAGTAACACCTGAATGTCGAATAGAATGTAGGACAAGAGAATTGCAGTTACAGAAGTGATAGCTTCTGCAAGAACGGGAGCATATCTAGCAGTTCTACAAATACATGTTGGGCCCTCTATCCTCAGATACTTTAGAGGCCTCAAGGTTGCAAGGGTAGTTTTCCAAGAATACACATCAAATGCATTGAGAGCCGGAGAAATATCCCCAGCCACTTTTTAGAGGCCTCAAGGTTGCAAGGGTAGTTTTCCAAGAATACACATCAAATGCATTGAGAGCCGGAGAAATATCCCCAGCCACTTCCGTATTTGGGATTCTCATGTTGCGTCGCCCGACATCTTTCGATCATGCTGCAAGCGTTGCTCAGGCCAGCTATCACTGCGACGTGATCTATTGTCGCCAGACGTACTGTCAGATGGAAGAGTACAAGAAAATCTTTGCAACGAACTAAATGCGCTGTTCCAAGAGTGCTCAGCAAAAAGGATTGCGACCCCAGGATGCTTCGGCTTCGTTTCGTTGGAAGGTCAGTTAGTCTGCACTTGAGTTCAGGCCAATCAGCTTGCTTTTTGCACGAGCTTTTTCACTCTGTATATTGGGTTTTGCATGTGTTGTTTGGAATTTTTGTTCAGCAGACGTATGGGTTGTATCCTAAGGGAATGCACTTTCTCTTGAGAGAAACCAACAGCAGCAGGGATGGCAGTGTGGGCATTTCATCCAAGACAGCAGACTCCTTTCTCCCTGATCATTTTTAAGTGTTTTCAGCAGCTGCAGGCGCGTTTGTGCTCTTGTTCCAGTGCAAATGAAAAGGATAGCGATTGGAGAAGGATCGTCGGCACAAACATCTTCGCTGGCTCAAGCTTGGCAACGGAACTAAACCCCTCCTTTCCGCCATGTTTTCGCCATGCTTCGGCCACTCGCTTTCTTCTGTTTAACGAGCTTTAGGCTATCAGCCTTCAAACTGCTAGATGTGGGAGCTCCCAGGACTGGAACTCAGTCGATGACTGTTGCCCTCAGAACCTTGGGTTTGAATCCCCTGCACAGTGGACATCATAAGCCTTTACGACTCCCAGTATGCAGATATTTGTTTGGGAACGGCTCCCTGGATGACGCTTTTTCCGTTTTGGATGGCTATGATGCTGCCATGGATGAACCTTTCATGTTGATCTACGAAGAGGCAATGGCGAATTTCCCAGACGCCAAGTTCCTCCTCACGATTTCGGATCCCGAGCATTGGTACAAGAACTATGTGGACCTCGTTCAAGCCGATGGGGCTGGCTGGTGGTTTAATTTCGTAGAGACGTTCGAGCAGAAGTGCTATGATATGGCATCCTGGAATTGCTCCTTCACAGCACCCAGCGAAGAGACCAAGAAGGAGTGCTTGAAGAACTATGCTGCTCACAACGCCCGAGTACAAGAGGTGATCCCCGCGGAGCGACTGCTGGTGTACAATTGGTCAGATGGTTGGGCACCGCTGGCGCATTTTCTCCAAGTTCCAGTTCCGGACAAGGAATTTCCATACGTCGATACCAATTCTGAGAGAATCTACGCCGTGGCAGATGCCTATGAGGCAATTGGTGAGGCCGTGTGAAGAATCCAGCGTTTGCCGTGGAGCTGCAGAGCATGATACGGCATGGGCATACAAAAGGTTTACCACTTTGAAGCACTTTGAAATAATTCGTACTTTGAACGGAGCAAGAGGGTGCGCACGGCAGTTCAAGGGATGTTCCGCGTTGTAGTTTTAAATCTTTGATGTTGACTAGTACTGGAAGGAGTCGCTTGTTGTCAGAGTTTGTTCATTGCGAGGTCTTCATTGGTCAAGACTTGGGATAAGCGGACGAAACCCCAGTGCGACGAATTTCTGACATTTTCTGACCAAAGCTTCAACATCGCACCATGCAAAGACATCCAGCTTCAAACTCTAAGAATGTCTCTAAGAGCATCATGAGTCATGAGTCGATCTACGTTGTTTGCATTTGTTTGCTTTTATCCTTTGTAAAGCTTATTTTAGACATGAGACTGGTTGGGCTGCCAAGGTCTCGTCCATGCTGTCCTTCTTGTTGGATGGTGATTGAGTTGGCTTTTGTATGCTTTTGTTGCATAGTGGCTTGTTGGCCAGGATTGGGGCTTTGAAACTGTCGACATGCAGAACCAGACCTTGCAGCTTGTTGTGCACACACTGACGTACCGCAGCATTTTGGGCAATGGCACAAAAGATGGGGTATGGTATGAGGATCGTTCTCTACCAGGACAGCAACGTCTTAAAGAAGACAGCGTCAGGAACTTTGGCTCGGACAAATATAGCGCAGCAGAACCAATAAATTGGTCAACCAATTGGACATATGCAAGACTGATGCAAGATGTTGAGGGACGAATCTGACCTGAAGTTCTGAGTTGCAGGTCTAGCTATTGTGATTTGGCACTTTTGAAACTGAAGCAAGCATTTGGGGTATCCAAATATCTCTCATGCCGGCTGCTTTTCATCGGTATCATGCAAAACCCGCGGAGGAGAAACCGTTCGCATGCAAAACCTGCAGGGGAGAAACTGCGATCATGCAAAACCTGCAGAGAGAAACCGTTATGATGCAAAACCCGCAGAACAGAAACCGTTATCATGCAATACCTGCAGAGGAGAAGCCTTTATCATACAAAATCCGCAGAGCAGAAACCGTTATGATGCAAAACCTACAGAGGAAAAACCGTTATATTGCAAAACCCGCAGGGGAGAAACCGTTAGCGCGCAAAACCCGCAGAGGAGAAACCGCTATCATGCAAAGCCTTCAGCGGAGAAACCGTTATCACGCAAAACCTACAGAGGGCAAAACCTGCAGAGGAGAAACCGTTATCGTGCAAAACATGCAGAGAAGAAACCGTTCGCATGCTAAACCTGCAGGGGAGAAACTGCGATCATGCAAAACCTGCAAAGGAGAAACCGGTATCATTCCAAACCTGCAGAGCAGAAACCTGTTATGCAAAACCAGCACAGGAGAAAGCGTTATGTTGCAAAACCTACAGAGGAGAGACATGGAGAAACCATTATCATGCAGAACCCACAGGAGAAACCGCAGAGGAGAAACCGTTATCGTGCAACACCTGCAGAGGAGAAATCGCTATAATGCAAAACCCGCAGAGGAGAAACCGTGATTGCGCAAGACCGGAAAACGTTATCGTGCAAAACCCGCAGAGAAGAAACCGCTCGCGATCCACAGAGGAGAAGCCGTTAGCGCGCAAAACCTGCAGAGGAGAAACCGTTATCGTGCAAAACCTGCAGAGAAGAAACCGTTCGCATGCAAAACCTGCAGGAGAGAAACTGCGATCATGCAAAACCTGCAGAGGAGGCACCGTTCTCGTGCAAAATCTGCAGGGCAGAAACCATTGTCATGCAAAACTTGCAGAGGAGAAATTATTTCTGTTACCACGCATAAACCCGCAGGGGAGAAACTGTTACTACACAAAAAGAGAAACCGTCATCATGCAAAAGTTGCAGAGGAGAAATCGTTCTCGTGCAAAATCTGCAGAGGAGAAAGCGTTACGACGCAAAACCCGCAGAGGAGAAACCGTTATCACACAGAACCCGCAAGGGAGAAACGGCTATCACGCAAAACCTGCAGAGGAGAAACCGTTCTCGTGCGAAACTGGCACCAGAGGAACGGTTATCATGCGGGGGAGAGTGTTATTGCGCAAAACCTGCAAAGGAGAAAGTTTTTATCACGCAAACCTGCAGCGGAGAACCCGTTATCATGCAAAACCTGCGGAGGAGAAACGGTTATCACGCAAAACCTGCAAAGGGGCGAAGCCATTGAGACATGCACCACAAATGACGGAAGATCCACGGTGATTGTCAGCACCACAGGCTACATTTACATCATTGACGGTGGGTATCAAACCATGCATCAGGATGTGCTCATGCTACTAGTTGCCATGACTTTCTGCAGGATTCCATGCCAATGCAAATCTCACGCGAGAGCAGAATGAAACCTATGCTGCTTGGATGCATAATGTTTGTCATATACTTGACGTGAGCTTTGTCAACAATAATCAAGGGAAGTTGGGAAGCAATACTTCCGTGTTACGGACAAATAGAATTGTGAGACTTGTGCAACTTTACACTACATTGCAATACATCACAAAAGAATTGACTTGCATGAATGTTGCATGGGGCTTGTGTTGGGGAGGAAGCCGGAGCACGAAACCTTGTATTTTTCTGTGTAAAGTGGCTGCAGCCGGCGATGAAAGGTACCTCCTGTGCGCGGCGGGTGCAGTTTGGATCGTTTCGAGGTCAATCGGTTCCTCCTCTGTGTTCTGCAACGAGCGGTTGTTCCTGTGTGTGTAGTTCTTTGCGTTTCTTGAATCTGTGGTTGCAGATCGCACTGGAATGGCTGCATGATTGCTGTCATTTGGCGATGTCATGTGTGTAGAGAGCAGGTTTGCTACGGGATGCTGCGAAACGTATTGTAATGGCTGCATTAATGTTGCCTGGGCTTTGTTTTGGGGAGGAAGCCGGAGCACGAAACCTTGTATTTTTCCGTGTAAAGTGGTTGCAGCCGGGGATGAAAGGTACCTCGTGTGTGCGGCGGGTGCGGCTGCGGTCGTTCCGGACGAGATTGGTTCCTCCTCTGTGTTCTGCAACGAGTGGTTGTGCCTGTGTGCGTAGTTCTTTGCGTTTCTTGAACCTGTGGTTGCAGATTGCATTGGAATGGCTGGGTCAAGGTTGCTGGCGCCGCGGCTGCATGCGTAATATTACTCTCTTTTTACAGCTGGAAATCGTAAATCGTATTGGAGTGGCTGCATCAAGGCTGCGACAGTGATTTGTCAGCAGATTTTTTCAATTTTGGCGCTAGTAATTTTCCTTTTACAATTCCTGAAGAAAAAAGTGCTTCAAAATTGTCTTTTTTTTCGCTTTGGCGTCGAGATCCGGTTTTGGTGCTGCAATTTCCGACGCCATTGCGCGTAGTTCTATTGTGTTTTGCAACTCAGTCTGTGCAGGTCGCATTGAAGTGGCTGCGTCAAGGTTGCTTGGTGCCGCGGCTGCATGCGTAATACTATTGTCTTTTGCAGCTGGATCTCGTAAATACTATTGGAGTGGCTGTACGAAGGCTGCGACAGTGGTTTGTCAGCAGATTTTCCCAATTTTCGCGCTAGCAATTTTCCTTTTACAATTCCTTTCAAAAAGTGTTTCAAAATCGTCTTTTTTTCGCTTTGGCGTCGAGATCCGGTTTTGGAGCTGCAATGCCTGTTGTGATTATGTACAAGAAAGCTTCTCTGTGTAAAAACTTGTTTCTGTAAGAGCTTGCTGTGTGTAAAAGATGTTGTGTGTAAAAGCTTGCTGTGTGTAAAAGCTTCTCTGTGTAAAAGCTTGTTGTGTGTAAAAGCTTCTCTTTGTGTAACAGCTTCTCTGTTTAAAAAGCTTGCTGTGTGTATTTTTTCTCTGCGAAAGAACTTGCTGTGTGTAAAAGCTTTCTTTGTGCAAGCTTGTTTGCAAGCTTGCTGTGTGTAAAAGCTTCTCTGCGAAAGAACTTGCTGTGTGTAAAAGCTTTCTTTGTGCCAACTTTGTATCACGAAGTAGTACTGGGACGTGCTTTGTGCAAGCTTTGTAGTACAAAGTAGTACTGGGAAGTGCTTTGTGCAAGCTTTGCAGTACAAAGTAGTACTGGGAAGTGCTTGGTGCAAGCTTTGTAGTACAAAGTACTACTGGGAAATACTTTGTGCAAGCTTTGTAGTACAAAGTAGTACCAACGTGAGCAAAACGTAAGGGTTTTGTAGCATTCCCAAAAACGATGGCAGGCGTGGGGCATTTGAAGATGATCTGCAAAGATGCATTTTCTGTGGCAGGCGCAGTAC